CCCACAGATAGATAGATAAGTTACTCATACCATAGCATCACTGCCATCGCCCACAGTCGCCCTGGCCATCAAGCAGCCGCTGCCAGCGCAGTGCCCCATGTCATGCTGACATTACCCTGCAGTGATCCATTCAAAAGGCAGCCACGCTGGCAGCATTGCGTGGAGCGGCCGCTGAGCAGACCGCTCGCCACGCAATCAGCATGCTTGCGTTCAGCAGCAGGCGGAGCTGATGCAGCATCGGGACAGGTTGATGTGGCCGCACGGTATGATCGGGAAGCCTGTTGAGGTTGTGGCAACTGACGCAAGTGAAGCAGCCTGTATATCCCTGCCCCATGCTTGAAGGTGACGACCTGGCGGCTGCAAGGCAGGTGCAGCTGGCCGCCGCGCCGGGCTTCCTCGGCCGCGCGGTCGCGTGCATAGGCGGCGCCAACCGCGCCGCCTTCACCGCCGCTGAGGCGGTGCGAGGAATGGCGCACTGCGCCGAGTGTGCTGCCCTGGTGCTGCGGCAGGAGGGCATGGTGCGGGGGCTGACGCGGCTGCTGGACCCCGCCAAGGCGAATTCTGAGTGAGCGCCTTGCGATGCCGCTTACACAATTCTGCTCATGCCGATCCAGTTGATACGCTGCACGGTAGGCACACACCGGGCCTGCACACTCCCAGCCGAAGCCGATCAAGCGGCGGCATCAACCTGAGAGCTCTGGACTGCGGGGGTCCTGACCTCACCCCGCGCCACTCCCTGCCTGCGTAGCCGCCTGCTGCGCGACGCTGCCTTCAAGGCCTGCGCCTGCCTGCTCGTCAACTGCGGCGCCGAGGGCCGCGCCGCGCTCGCTGCCGAGCCCGCGTTCATGTCGGCCGCCTGCCGCATGGTGGGGAGCTGCGTCGCAGACTGCATGTATTTCAGCCTGACGGCCCTGACCAGCCTGGCGGGTGACCGCAGCACGCCGCCGGCCGGCGAGGGCCGCAGCCTGCTGGCGGCCAGCTTGCGGGCGGGAGACCTGGAGGCGCTGGCTGGCGGCCTGGCCAAAGCGATGCGTGACTACGTGCGGAGCAGCCTCGAGGCACGACAGAGCGGTTCGCTGCCTGACATTATAATCAGACTGCTGAAGCTGACTTTGTGGCTCCTGGCTCAGCCGCCGGGGGTCGGGAATGACGCAGCGCGGGCGATGCCGCCTGGCGTGGCGCTAGACCTTGCCGCTTTGGCGATGGGCGGGCGCGAGGAGGACCCTGAAGACGTGAGCGGGGGGCGCTGCGGCCTGGGACGCGCCGAGACGCAGGGGGCCTGCGTGGAATCGCCATGCGGCTGGCTGGCGTGACGACTTTCTGGCGTGCCAGCCGCACCTGATCGTGCCCGCATCGCGACCCCTCCCCCACCCACCCACACGTCCCCACCAATGCCGGAAACCCGAATGCCCGCCTGCCCCCCCTCAGACCAAGCTGCGGGGCTGCGCCCTCTGCGCTCTGGGTGAGCTGACGCGTCGGAATGAGGAGGCGGTGAGGGCCATCCTAGAGCAAGAGGACACCGCCATCGCCCTGTCAAACAGCTGGGCCGCCAACGCCAGCGGCACCGCCGCCGGCGCGGTTGTGGCCGCCGGGAGGGGCGCGCCCCACTTTCTTGCGTGCCTCTGCCGCGGCGCGGGGTCCGCCGCGCCCCCACGCGTGCGCGCAGCGCTGCTGTCCGCAATCGCATGTGGGCTGGCGTCGGGGGGCGGCAATTGGGCGAAAGCCGCCGCGCTGGCATTGCTGGCCTGTGGCGAGTTGCGCAGCGAGGCCGCTCACGACGAGCGGATCATGCAGGGCGCCGCTGCGTGGGTCAGATGCGCAGCCGCCGAGCTGCAGCAAGCATGGTCTGCTCGCGACGCCGCGTCGCTGCGCGGGGCTCTGGTGTCGGCGACCGTCGCGGCGGAGGCCACGGCGCGGCTCGTCGGCTGGCCGGGGGCCGCCGAGTCGGCCGCGGCCCGGGACGGGTCGCTTGTGCGCGCGCTGCTAGGCGCGGCCCTCCTGCAGCCGCCCGGCTGCAAGGCGGAGGCCTCCGATGTGCAGCGGCTGTGGCTGTGCAAGGCGCACGCCGCTGTCGGCCTGCGGTTGCTGGCGGCAGGCGTGCTGCTGGACGGGACAGGCAGCGAGCCGCGGCTGGCGGGGACGGTCGCGTGGGATCAGGTGCTTCGCGCGGCGCCATCCCTGCTGCTTGACAGCGTGGCCGAGCTCGCCGCCCACCGGCGCCGCCGCCAGGAGGAGGGGGCCTGTGGGGCTGTTGCCAGTGGCAGCAACAACAGCAGTGGCTGCGGTGGCGGCACCAGCGACGGAGACACTGGCAAAGGCGGCCACAGCGGCGGCGGCAGGACCAGCGGCGGCGACGGCCCTGACAGTATCGCAGATTTGACTGCCCACGCGGCGCATGAGTTGTGCACCGCCGTGTGCTCAACCGTGGCTCTCATACTGCTGATCCACACCCAGGAGCCAGAGGGCAGCAGCAGCGGCAGCAGCAACGGCAGCGGCAGCGGCAGCGGCAGCGGCAGCGGCAGCGGCAGCGGCTGCGGCAGCGGCAGCGGCAGCGGCAGCGGCAACAGCAGCGGCAGCAGCAGATGCAGCAGCAGCAGCAGCAGCAGCAGCAGCAGCTGCGCGGAGCCGGCGGCGCCGCCGCGCCCACTGGAGGAGCTGCATGCCGCGGCCGTCTGCGTTTGCGGCTGCGGCCTGCTGACGGGCCAAGCGCTCCTTGCGTTGGCTATGGTGGAGGCGGCCCGCAGCTGCGAGGCTGCGGCAGCGAGCAGAGATGCACGAGCAGGCCAGGAGCTGCGGCCGCTGCTTGCCCGTCTGCTGGCCGACTCGCACTGCCTGGCGGGTGCGCAGTCACCAGCGCCGCGCGAGGGCGATGCTTTCGAATCAAGGTGTCTGGAGGGGCCTCAGTCCGAGGAGGGGCCCAGCCCGAGCCAGCTGAGCTGCAGCAGCGCCTGCCGCGGCGGAGATGCTGCCGCATCCGAGCAGCCGCCAACGCTTGCAATGGCGGTCGTTAAAGCCGGCACCGCCGCGCTGCGCGCCGCCGTGCAGCGCCCTACGGCTGGCGACAGCGGTGGCTCTGTGCCGGTCTGCGGCGTTTGCGTCAGGGGCTCGGACGGCAGCTGCAACACGTTGGACGCGCCGCCGATCGACGCCGCTCTGCGCGCGCTGTGTGCGGCACCACTGGCGGAGGAGGAACGCGTCCCGCTGGCAGCGCTGCTGGCGGGCATGGCTGGTAATAGGGCCGGCATAGGCGAGATCCCCAAGGAAGATAGGTGGTTTGAGGCCCCCGACCTGTTGGCAGTGCGTGACACTGCCTGTGCACAATCTGCACCCCAGCCTCAGCCGCCAACGCGCAAGCCGCGCACGCCCCCAGCTGATGAGGCGGCCGTCGTCAGCGCCGCGGCACCCGGAGAGGGCCTGGCGCAGGAGTGCCTTGCGCAACGGGCGCCGGGCAGCGGCCGCACCCGCGGCTGCGCGTACTGCGGCGTGACGGCCAAGCAGGGCGCGGCGCTGCGGCGCTGTGCGGGGTGCGGCGCGCTGACGGGCGTGCGCTACTGCAGCCAGGCCTGCTGCCGCAACCACTGGGTGCGGACGGGGCACAGGCAGCAGTGCGAGGAGGCGCAGCGGGAGCTGCGGGAGCGGGTCGTTCAGCAGCAGCAGCACCATCACCACCAGAAGCAGTAGCAGCAACAGCGACCGTAACATCGGCAGCCGCAGCAACAGTAAGTCTCACCCAGAACGAACGATCCTGCAGCAGAGTTACCCATTTGGCATGGCTGCCAAAGGACCAAAGTTATGGGGCCAATCTGGAAATCGCAGATGTGGGTATGTCGCAGGCCATATGGACACCGATGGAGAGTGCTGCACGCATTTTCTGCTGGAGTTTCAGGGGTTGTGACGGCGCACGCCTGGTGACCACCCGACTCCGGTTCCCTCTTTCAGCAAGCTTCTCTTGCCGCTATTGTGTTATCTAAGTGTGGCTTTGTGCTCAAATGTATCTTTCTATACTCCACATGGCATGCACGCCTGCAGCCCAGAGTTGCTGCGACATCAAATGCAAGACCCTACCTGTGAGCTTCTGCAGGCTGGCAGTGTGGATGAGCAGGTGTGGTTTAACGCCGCTCAGATCACTCTCCTAGGGCCTGGGTTCAGCCCAACCCTGTACCTTGAACTCTAGAGCCATCCGCGCGTCCTTCGTGGCTCATTGCGCCGCGAGCGACGCCGGGGCAGCCAGGCACAGGTCGCGGACTGTTTGCTCGTCGGTCTGTCTTTGCAATGCGAAGAATAGTCCATAACCCAATTATTGGGCAAGACATCTATCACGGGCCGACACCACACCCATCGTCCTATACTCAAGAGCGGAAGTGCTGCGGGTGCCGCAGAACTCAGCCCGGCCTCTCAAACCAGTGAACCGCAGCGGTTTGATGCCGCTGGGACTGGCCGTCTGCTCATCATCGCTCTGCTGTGGCGCGGCGACATGAATCGTCCGCTTCCTTGCCCCCACACCCCACACACTGCGGCTCGGCGGCCGACCACGGCTAGCTACTTCCTCCACCGACACGCTGCACACTGCGCTTAGACCCCCAAAACGAGCGCTGCTGGGAGTGGCGTCGTGCATCGTCCTGGAACCAGGATCAATGGGACGGGCGACAGAGGTGCCTATAACAGTGGCAGGGGAGGGAGCACAGCGGCGGCATGTTCGCGTCACATTGAACTTTAGCCTGTCCGCACAATATTGCGCTATCAACTGCACGGGTCACTTTTGGCGGGTGACCACCGGGTGACTCTTGCACACTCGTGCACATCCTTGCGGATAGGCAGTTCTTGCAGACAGGCACGCAGATTTCAGAACTCTCAAATGCGTTCGTCGCTTGCAACGATGTTGATCAATTTTTTTATTGCTCTGTAAAGGGGTGCCCAGCATACCGTATTTTATCGACAATCCAAAGCAATGCTGTAAAAGTCTAGCACGACTGCAACCATCCCCTCGCTTGCCCTGCGCGATGCCGGCAGGGCGGGCACGCGACGGTGCCGCAGCCGAGTGCGCCCAAGCCCTCGACAGCGCCGTCCTCGCCCTGGTCGCCGTGCTGAGGCGCAAGCCGGCGCGCGGCACCAAAGAATCCACACCGCAGCGCGCCGCGGCTGCCCTGCATTCGCTCAGCACGGCGGCCGAGGCCGACCGCGACCGGGTCGCCGCCGCTGCAGGCAGCAGCGCGCCGCCCGTGGCAGCGGTGGTGCTGTCGGACGCTGTGCTGCAGCAGCTGCTGGGCTGCCTGCGCACAACGGACACGAGAGCGGTGGAAGTGGTGTTTCGGGCAGCATGTGTTCTCATGGACGGTGAGTTCGTCATGCATCTCAGGCGGAGGGGACACTGCCATACAGACGCCCTACTCCGTTGCCGGCGCGGTGCCCCACGTCACTCTGATGCCACGCCGCAGTGACAGCCATGCAGGAGGCAGCCATGCTGACAGCACTGCATGAGCGCGGCTGCCATGCGGGCCGCTCGCCTCTCAGTCAGCATGCTTGCGGTCAGCAGACGCCGCAGATACAGCAGCGGGAAACACTGACCCGCAGCCGAGCAGGCTGCTGTGCGGCTGGATTACTCACACGATCGGTACGCCTGTCAAGTCTGTGGCGATTCGTGCAAGTCAACAGCAAACCCTCTCCCTGCCCCTTGCTTGAAGGTGCCAAACTGGTGGCTGCTCGGAAGCTGCAGCTGGCCGTCGCGCCGGGCTTCCTCGCCCGCGCGGTCGCGTGCATGGGCGGCGCCAACCGCGCCGCCTCGGCCGCCGCCGAGGCGGTGCAAACCATGACGGCTCACTGCGCCGAGTGTGCTGACCTGGTGCTGCGGGAGGAGGGCATGGTGCGGGCGCTGGCCCAGCTGGTGGACCCCGCCAAGGCGAATCCCAAGTGAGCGCCTTGCGATGCCTTTGACCAGTGTTGCTCAATGCTCATCTCGACGCCAGCTGACATACCGTGCAGCAATCATCACAATCGAGCCCGCACATACTGAGATGGTCCTATCGATCAAGTGGCAGCGTCGGCCTGGGCGTTCTCGGCTGCCGAGCTGGCGGTTGGCTCCTCGTCTGTGCCGCGTCTCGGCCTCACCTCGCGCGGTGCCCGCGCCACTCCTGCCCGCGCAGCCACCCGCTGCGCGACGCTGCATTCAAGGCCTGCATCGGCCTGCTCACACAGTGCGGCGCCAAGGGCCGCGCCGCGCTCACCGCCGAGCCTGGCTTTGTCGCGGCCGCCTGCCGGATGGTGGGCGGCTGCGATGCAGACTCGAGATTCTTCATCTTGGGGGCCCTGACCAACCTGGCACACGACCGCATCAGGTCGCCGGCCGGCGCGGGCCGCAGCCTGCTGGCGGCCAGCATGCGGGCGGGAGACCCGGAGGCGCTGGCCGGCGGCCTGGCCAAAGCCGTGCGTGACTACGCGTCCGTGGGCAGCAGCCTCCAGGCACACGGCAACAAGCCGCTGCGGGTCCAGGCTGTCAGGGTGCTTAGGCTCATGGCGTGGCTGCTGGCAGAGCCAGGGGTTGGGGAGGACGCGGCGTGGGCGACGCCGCCCGGCGCGGCGCTGGACCTTGTCGCTTTGGCAGGAGAGGGGCGGGAGGCAGACCCCGAAAACGTGAGCGGGGACGCTGCGGGCCGGGCCGGGCCTCAATGCGAGAGACCCCGCGTTGCGGCCGCGCGGCTGGCGGGCGTGACGCCGTTTCGGCGCGCCGGCCGTCCCTGATTGCGCACGCCTTGCAAACCCTCCGGCGTCCTGACAAACGCCAAGCGCTGAAGCGCCCGCCGGTCCGCGCCGACCCGTCTGCCCCCTCAGGATGAGCTGCGGGACTGCGCCCTCAGCGCGCTGGAAGAGTTGATTCGCCGAAACGAGGACGCGGCGGGGGCCGTCCTGATGCAGGAGGGCGCCACAGTCGCCCTGCTGGACGGCTGGGCCACCGGCGCCGCCGTTGCCGCGGCCGCCGCTGATGACAGGCGCGCACCCCGATTTATCGTGTGGCTCGCCTGCAGGGCTGGCGACGCCGCGCCGTTGCGTTTGCGAGCGGCGCTGCTGTCTGCAATCGCACGCGGGCTGGCTGTTGAGAGGGCCGCCAGTTGGGGGGAAGTCGCGTCGTATACACTGGCGATGATGGCTCCTGGCTTGCTATGTGAGGCAGCACAGGAGGAGAGGATCATGCGCGGCACTGCCGCGTTCCTTGGACGCGCAGCCGCCGAGCTGCGGCGTGGTAGCTCTTCAGGCGACGACGCAGCGCTGAGCGAGGCTTTGTGGGCCGCGCACAGCGCGTCGGACACCATGGCGCGCCTCGCCGGCTGCCCGGGCGCTGCCGAATCGGCCGCGGTCCGGGACGGGTCGCTTGTGCGCGCGCTGCTAGGCGCGACCCTCCTGCAGCTGCCCGACTGCATGGCAGAGGCCTCCGATGTGCTGCGATTCTGGCAGGTCAAGGCGGAAGCCGCGGCCGGGCTGCGGTCGCTGGTGGCAGGCGTGCTGCTTGAAGCGCCAGGCGGCGCGCCGCGGCTGACGGGCGCGGGCGCGTGGGATGAGGTGCTTCGCGCGGCGCCCTCCCTGCTGCGTGAGAGCGTGGCTGAGCTTGCGGCCCATCGGCGCCGCCGCCAGGAGGAGGGCGCCGATGGCGCTGTCGTTGGGGGCAGCAGCACCAGAAGCGGCTGCATAGGAAGCGGCAACTGCGGCACTGGCAATAGCGGCAGCAGCAGCGGCGGCAGCAGCAGCGGCGGCAGCGAGCACGGCGGCAGCGAGAAGGGCGGCAGCGAGCACGGTGTCGACAGCCCCAACAGTATCGCAGAATTGACCGCCCACGCGGCGCACGAGTTGTGTGCCGCCATGTGCTCGATCGTGGCTCTCGTACTGCTGGTCAACACCCAGGAGCCAGAGGGCAGCAGCAGCCGCAGCAGCTGCGGCAGCAGCTGCACAGGGCCGGTGGCGCCGCCGCGCCCACTGGAGGAGCTTCGCGCTGCGGTCGCCGGCGTCTGCGGCTGCGGCCGGCTGACGAGTCAAGCGCTCCTGGCGTTGGCGATGGTGGAGGCGGCCAGCACCAAGGAGGCTGCGGCGGCGAGCGGAGACACAGCAGCAGGCCAGAAGTTGCGGCCGCTGCTTGCCTGCCTGCTGGCCGACGCGCGCCGCTTGGCCGGCGCGCAGCAGCCAGCGCCGCGCGAGGGCGATGCTCCCGACACGAGTGGACCGAGGGGCCCCCAGTCCGAGGACCGGGCCAGCCCGAGCCAGCTGAGCAGCGGCACAGGGAGGGGCAGCAGCGGCAGCCGCGGCGGAGATGCTGGCGCATCCCAGCGGCCACCGACGCCTGACGAAACAGTCCTTCGAATTGGCTGCGCCGCGCTGACCGCCGCCGTGCAGCGCCCTGCGGCTGGTGACGGCGGCGGCGCGGGGCTCGTCTGTAGCGTTTGCGTCGGGCGCTCGGACGGCAGCTGCAACACGTTGGACGTGCCGCCCATCGACGCCGCACTGCGCGCGCTGTATGCGGCACCGCAGACGGCGGAGCACTGCGCGTCGCTGGCAGCAACGTTGGTGGGTGTGGCTGGTGTCAGGGCCAAGTTGGGCGAGATGCCCCGGGAGGACAGATGGTTCGAGGCCCCCGCCTCGTTGGCAACGCTCAACGCTGCCGGCGCCGCGGCGCCTGCAGTGGGCCCTACACAGGAGTGCCTTGCGCCCAGGGCGCCGCGCAGCGGGCGCACCCGCGGCTGCGCGTATTGCGGGAGGACATCCGCGCAGGGCGCGGCGCTGCGGCGCTGCGCGGGGTGCGGCGCGCTGACGGGCGTGCGCTACTGCAGTCAGGCGTGCTGCCGCAACCACTGGGTGCGGACGGGGCACAGGCAGCAGTGCGAGGAGGCGCAGAGGGAGCTGCGGGAGCAGAATGTTCAGCAGCAGCCACGGCAGCAGCAGCAGCAGCAGCAGCAGCAGCGACCGGCCTGTCAGAAGCCGCAGCAGCATTGAGAGTCGACGAGCAATAGTGATTGCGAAGCAGGGTTGCCTCTCTGGCACGGCTGCAATTTGAGCGACAAGTCAAATGTGGTTGATTTACTGACTCCTGGTGTGGACGTGTTGCAGGCAGCTTGGAACCCAATCAGATGCGTGATCCTGTGGTTGAAAGTGCTTGTTTCGGCGTGTTTTTTGATGGAGGATGCGATTTGATGGAGGGCGGAGCCACAGGGGTTGACGGCACATGCAACCTTGGTGACTACCCAACACTCATGTGACCCCCTACTTGAGCAATTCTCGCTTGCTGCTCTCATGCAATTCCAACAAGCGATTTGTTCTGAAACGTGTAACTTCATCCTCTACATCGCATGCCCGCCCAGAGCCCGCGATTGACCTAATCTGGACCACCCTGCCAGTGGGCAAGCTTGCAGTACGAAAGAGAAGGTTTGTAGCTACTCAAATCAATCCTTGACTTAACATCAGCAAAACTCTATGCGCAGGTGGCCGGCATTCGATGCCATGAGCGCCTCGCAGCAGCCCCACGTCAGCCGCCCACCCGCGGCGGCGTCGAGCGCCGCGCATGGCAGCTGAAGAGACAGGGTTTGCAGCAGGGGCGGTCGGAGGCGCGCAAGGGGCGCTGCCAGTGCCTCCAGAGCCTCGTCACTCAGCGACCATAGCATCATCTGCCTGTCAAGCGCCGCCGCGCCCGCGGCCGCGGCCGCGGCCGCGCCGCGCCCGCTGCTGCTGTCAGACGGCCCCTCCCCAATCGGCCGCGCGGCCACCTCGAAGCGCAGGCGCAGCGAGCGCAGCGCCTGCCACAGCGGCAGCGACAGCAGCGCGCGCGCCATCTCGTCGTGGAGGCAGGCCGAGCCGGTCCCGAGGTCGAACGCTGCAAGCTGAGGCCCCAGCCAGGGCGCCAAGCACGCCAAGGCGTCGCCGACCGGCAGCGGCGTGCCCGCCCCGAGGTCGAGCGTCAGCGAGTGCAGCCGCGTCCACCCGGCGGCCGCCCACCGCGCGAGCCGCGCCGCCGCCGCCGCACGTGGCGCGCCTGCGCACGTGTCCGCCAGGGCCTGCTCGCCCCAGGTGGCGTCTTGCGCGAGGGACACGAGGAGGGTGCGTACTGCTGGCAGGTCGGACAGGGCCTCCATCACGCGGTTTGCATTGGCCGTGTGGACGTCCTCCCAGGAAGCTTCATCGATGTCTGGCTCCTCCACATCCCCCTCTGGGAGGCCGTCTCCCCAGCCATCCCAGCCGGTGGCTTCTCCACCGACGAAGACGTGGGCACCCACCAACACCACGCCCCGCAGGCCGAACGACGCCCGCAGCGTGAGGGGTACGGGGTGGCAGGCGGACAGGCAGGCCAGCGGGACCAGCTGGGCGGCGTAAGGCAGCTCCCACATCGCCAGCCGCGGCGCGGCGGCGGACAGGCAGCCGTAGTCGAGGCTCGAGCTGACCGCGTGGGTGCGCAGCTGCGTGAGGGCCGGCAGGCAGCTGGGGAGCAGCTGCCCGTCGCCGTCTTGGGCCAGGTGGATGGAGGGTCCCAGACTGAGGTACTCGAGGCCGGGGGCCGCGGCGGCGATGGCGGAGAGGGTGACGCGCTGGCTGGGGTGATTCTCGAGCAGCTGCTGCCTCACCACATTGCGGGGCGTCTTGCTGCGCAGGCACGCACGCAAGCAAGATGGCGTAATTACGGGCGGCGAGTGTGGGGGTGTGAGAGGAGCTTGCTTGCTGCATGAGGCGCAGGGACGATCCGGGTGTGAACCGCGCGTGTGAGGGTTGCTAGCTTACTTGTATCTGCGAGGGACGACTGGTGGTCAGCAACGCAATGTCAGAATGACATCACCAAGCTCAGCCTGCGCATCCACTTGGCATAAGCAGAGCTCCTGGGGCTTCCCCGGCGGGGCGTCGCCCCCAAAGCACGCACCCGTGGCTCAGCAGGAGTCGCCTGAGCCTCGGCATCGGCCCCGCCTCGAGCATAGCGTCCACGGCCGAAGCGGGCTCCCACGATGCCCACGTCAGCTCCGTCAAGCACCCGGCAAGCCGCGGCAGCGCGGCCCGCAGCGCGGCCAGGGCCGCGGATGCTTGTTTGCCGCCGCTCTCGCCGGCCGCGTCGGCGGCCCAAGTCAGGCTCCGCAGCGCCGCGAGGCGCGCCAGGCTGGCGGCCAGGGCGCGGGGGGCCGAGCCGCAGCAGCAGCCGGTGCAGGTCTCAATGCAGACGTCGGAGAGTGTGGCGGCGGTGGGGGCCAGGGCTTCGAGGCAACGGGTGACGCAAACGGAGGCCCTGAGCTCCTCAAGCCGGGCCCCTTTCTTGCTTGGATCTGCTACCGGCGCCGCAGCTGCGGCCGCGTCAGGGGCCGGGCATGTTGCTGCCGCCGCAGTCCCGCGGGATCTCACGGCTGCAGAGCCGCCGACGGCTGCTACTAGCGGCCCGCCCAGGGCAGGCGCGCGCTCAGCGCCGTCATCGGCAGCCGCGGGCGCCGCGGGGCTGTCCTTCGACGGCCCGCCGGGCGCGGCCGAGGTGCGCGCCTCGGCCGCGAGTGCCGCGGCGCTCGCTTCGCTGCAATTGTCAAAGATGTGCGGGGTGCTCAAGAGGGAGGGGCAGGCGCGGGCGAGCGCCGCGAGCAGCGGGGCGGTTGCGTCGTTGGGGGCAAAGCGCAGGTGCTCGACGGCCGGCCACGCGCCGTGCGGCAGTGCCTCCACAGCGCTCACGAGGTCGACAAATGCGTCGTTCTCCACGTGGCGAAAGTGTAGCGTCGAGGCGGCCGGGAAGCGGCGCGCGAGGCAGGGCGCGAGGGCGATGAGGCGCGGCGCGTCGAGGCGCAGAGAGGGTAACTGGGCGTCGACGAGGCGGCAGAGGCGGCTGCATGGGCAGCGGGCAGCGGGCGGGGTGGCCGCACGTGAGGAGGGGAAGGGTCGCAGACCAGCTCACCCAGAGCAAGGCCAGCGGAGCTTACACATCGGCGCCCCGAGACCAGTGTAGCCGCCAGTGACGCACGACGCACCGGCTTGCACAGCGCAGCCGCGATCGCCACAAGTCCAAGTCCACGCGCTTGTAGATGGATGCAAATAGGGCCAATGGAATCTGCTCGAAGGCAGCATGCTCCTCGTGGCCGCCCGCCTCGCCATGATCAGCCGAGATCATGTCGCCGGCGACGGATATGGCACTGGTCGTTTTGTAGATGAAGTGCAGGGCGATTTTGGCATTTAAGGCGTTGTAACTGAATGCATCTCGTTGATCAACGCTTGCGAGAGCCAGCGGCACAGGCGCACCCGCAAGCAGGCAGCCCCGGGGCCACAGCTGAGCGACTGTGCCGGGAACCTCGACTGACATGTGCCACCCAACTGCCCAGTAGCAGTGAGGCAATAACATGTGTGCAAATTTCGGTTTCTGCTGGACACTAGCCTTGAGGCCATCCGTCATGTACGAGGTGGCGCCCGCCGGTGGCCGAGGATTGGGGTCAAAGGCAAAGTTTGCACTTCTGTTGGTTAACATCTTGCTTGCCTGCTGGTCAGGTTGGGACGGCAAATATGGCTATGTTCGGCAGTTCCGATTTGATGGCGTATCTGAACAAACACATGCAAGTATTGCACAGGCTTCCTGCATCAACTTTGGCAAGCGCCGGGCAAGCTGACGGTCCACGGCAATCTCACACGCAAACAATCCCAAGGTTACGATGACTGTGCCCTGGGCGTGCGGAAACAGCTCGTGGTATCCAAACAGCCTCATCAGGGGATAGCATCTTTTGCAACCGCAACGTTGACGTCACAAACCTCCTTTACCACCCTCGGTAGCACTACTGTGTCATCTGTACGCGAGTTACACGGACAGCTGTAGGTCCACAAACAGCCGCCCCTGCACAGGGAGGTCACGGCCAGGTGCGTGTACACACCAAAGCAGGTGTTGGCTCTTGCTGAGCAGCTTCCGCAGCAGCGCACCAAGGGAGCAACACCACGCCGTTGGTTGCGTCGAATGCAAGCGTAACAGCATCGTCCCTATCAGCATATGGTGTGACGCCACCTGCTGTCACAGCACTTGCCGCCTTCCTTGGTCAAACTAAGGCGCCGCCTATTGACCCACGCCCGGCCTGATTTGTAGCACCTGGCCCCGGTTGCAACAGTCCATCACGCGTACGGCTGCCAGCCGGCGTACGTCCGCGCCAGCAGGCCCTCATCTGCCGCCAGCTCCAGCAGCACGGCGGCGCAGGACGACGCGCCGCCGGGCAGGGGTCCGGAAGCTGGCAGGTCGGCGCGGGCGTCCACGCCCCTGGGCGCACAGGCATGCAGGCGGACAGAGGGGTCGATTTGGTGTAAATTATGATCATGCTCGATTCTGGGCTTGTTTCGTCCTGCTTTGGCAGCTCCCGACAACCCTTTTAAGTCCCGACAGGCTTGTAAGGGGAAGGGCTCGCGCCAGGCGCGCCCCCTAATCCCTAAAGCCTCAAACTGCAAGCGCCTGCCCGGCGGCGAGCCAGGCGCGCAGGCACGCCCGGTCCGACCCACCTCCTGCCCTTCACGGCGGCCTCTATGTTGCCCCACTGCGGGCTGTGGCCCTGCCTCAGGCTCGCGCCCTCCAGGATGATGGACACGGGGCCCTCGCAGGCGAGGCGGCGCCCGGCGTGCTCAATCTGCCGGGGGCGCACGAGCGCGCACAGCGGGACGGGCGAGGGGCGCGCGAGCGCATGGGACGATGGGGGAGGGGGTTGAAACGACGGGGATGGATCAGGTCAGTGCAACTGGGTTTGGCGACTCAAAAATTAGCAGATTGAAATCGTGCCAAAAACGCATGGCCGCCGTGACGGGTCAGCGTTCTGCAGAAGTTGGCCCTGCCGGTCGCTCAGGACTGGGAGGCACCAAGCAGCCCCAAGTCGACGAACTTTGGTCGTGTGCGCTTGCGTGTATTCGCATACATTCACACGACCCAAGTGCGGTTCGGGGGCAGCCTGTCGCCCGTGCTTGGGTGCCGCGTGCCTCCTTGTGGCATGGCCCTAAACCCATAACCCTTAAACCCATAAACCCTAACGACCCTTTGAGGAGCCGCGGCGTTGTTGGGTCCTACTCCACACAGCAACACGCGTCGAAGACGCCCGGCCCAACCCGACGCGCCCAGTCCAACCGCGCAAGTGCCCCGCTGACAGCCGTGGGGCGCGGCGCACCTTCATCTGCAGCAGCCGCTCCTCCCGCTCCCTCCCGCCGCCGCCGCCGCCGCCCCTCGCGCCGCCCTCCACCGCCGCCCTCAGCGCCGCGATGGACTGCGCCTCCTTGACCCAGTCCAGCAGGGGCTCTGCTGTGAACACGGCCAGGGCGCTGGACAGGACCTGGCGGGGGGCAAGGGGCGGCAGGGCAGGGTTGGGCAAGTCGGCAGCGGGATGGGGCCGGTGGCGGGATGAGGGTTGATGGCGATATCGAGGATCGGTGGCGGGATCGGGGTCCAAGGAGGTGCTGTATCAAGTAAGTTTTGATTGGGCGGGTGTCATCGTGAAGGCCAAACGAAGCCGAAGGGGAAGGTTGGAGGAGCTCGCTGCCGATTTATAACTCCGATGACTTGACCTTGTAAAACGATTGAGGAGAGGTGCCGAGCCCGGCCGCCCACCTGCGCCTCCTGCCGCATGCTCTCCAGCAGCGCGGCCAGCAGGGGGTGCAGCGCGTCGCAGGGGGCGTGGGGCAGGAACAGGCCCTGCAGCTGGCGGGTGAGGCGGAAGGGCACCAGCTCCGGCACGGGCAGCTGCGGCGCAGTATTGGCACGGGGCGGGGTCGGGGCGGGATGGTGTGTGTCACCGGTGTGTGTGTGTGTGGGGGTAGGGGGGGAAGGCAACCTTTGATTTGGTCCTATTTGGCAACACAAGACTGCTGCAGCGCATGTTGACTATGACGACAGTCCGGCAGCGTCACCCCAGGCATCGCGCCTGGCTTTGGGTCACCACTGCGTGCGCGTGTACCGAACTGAGCAAGAGGGCCCTTCATACATCGCGCGGCCCCGCTTTGACCAAGGGGGGCACGCGCCCCGCCACGCCACGCCACGCCCCTGCGAGTCCTTGGCCTCGTAGCAGCCTGGGCACTTTGGCCACACGCACAAGAGAGTCGACTCTGCACATCCCAACTTTAAACCCTGGCCTGAACCCACGATGAGGGCCGTCCCGAAGCTGTAGCCAAAATCGATGGGCACCAGCCGCCCGGTGGACTCCTTGGGTTGAGGGTTTGTAGGGGCAAGGGGGGCGGGGTGCCGGATGGTTGATTGGGTGAAGCCTCGACACAAACCCCAACCAGACAGATACTGCACATCCAAAGAGGGAGCACAACAACCCATCACAGGACTGGACAACGACTGGAACAGGCCATGCCACATCACAGCAAATGAGCTGCCTGATCTTGCAAGTCTGATCACCGATCCAGATCACCGTCACCTGTACGAGGACGTTCCCAAGGTGCCTGTCCCCCACCCCCACCAGCCACCC